GTTGGCGGGGGCTTTGCTCTTCCCTGGGCCAATCTGTGAGGCCGCTTTGGTGGCTCTGCAAGTCCCTGCCTGGTGAGGGAAAGGCCAGGACCAGGGCTCAGCACAAACACCTGCTGCCTGAATCTCCTTTTCCCTGGGGCTGCACTTCTCATGCTCCACCACTGCTCCGAGGCTCTGCATGGGGTGAGTCTAAGCTTGCTAGTTAACTGACAAACCCAGCGTCTGGGAGACACTAGTGGGTTTGGGAGTGCTTGTGTCGTAGGTCCCTCTTTGGATGGAGAGTGCCTTGCCCCCACCCCTCCTTAAAATGCTGCTCTCTTCCCCCTGCTTTACAGGGGGGCCTGTGGGTCACCATGGGGGGTGCATTTGCACCTCCCCTGCATATGGGCCTGGGAATGGAAGTCATACCTCGCCAGGGAGTCTGGCCAGTGGGTCCACACAGGCCGGCCAGGATCCAGCCTTCTGGCACCTGGATGACGGTCTCCAGTAGTCCCACGGGGCTCTCTGGGAGGTGTGAGTGCATGGTGCATGCTGGGGGTGTGAGGCGGGAGTGGAGCAGTGGGGATATGGTCATGGCAGTAGCAGCAGAACTTTCATGGGAAAGATGGCGGACAGGTCTGCTTTTGCCCCTCACGCTGCTCTCAGACTTCCTGTCTTAGGCATGGCTTCCTGCTGCTCCATTGGCTGGATTCTGGGCAATGGAGCAGCGGGAAAATCCTGTAGAAAGTGTGCCGGTATGCTGCTCTGTTCCTCCAGCAGGGGGTGGAGGCGAGCACATGCATGCACAAAGCCATTCATGGCTCTGACTTTTTCCCTGATCGCACAGCTACTCCCTTGCTCCCGTGTGCCACTGAAAATCATGTGTGCCATTAACCCCTGCTATAAACTCATCAGGGCAGGGGACTATCTGCATTTTGTGTCTTGTGAGGTGTTAAACACATCAGCATATTATAAATATGCACCAGAATATCATGGCACTGCAGTGAATACTTTCAGTAAATGAGCAGATTGCACTTTTTAGGGAGTTAAAGGCAGCTTGTTTAATAATAAAGGCATTATAACAAAAAAATGCTTGGTGCAGGGTCCTGTGTTAATTCTTGAGCTGTAAAATATTTTCCAGAGTTGTAATGACTCTTAGCAATCTAAAAATAATCATATTAGCATGAAGTTAATCTTGTGGCAGTAAAAATAGATGTAGATCTATTTTTCCTTATTTCTTTCCATCGTATCATTGCTTTGCTATTGTAGCTTTTAAATTACTTGGTTTATAATACATACATATTTTTATTAGTGGTGTTTCACATTTGTTTTAAAGCATGTCCAGGCTCAAAAAAGCATCTATGTAACAGTGATCCCTTGGTTTTCCATATTTACTCTCCATCTGTGGAACCCAAATGTAGCTGGCAAGTTTGTTGATGATGCAGGAAATAGGGTAGACCACAGCTCTGATACTATTAAACACTTGTATTTGTAAGTTATCTAAATATATGCAGTAACAGTGTCATTTTCTACATTCGTTTTTTACCCCACTTCAAATTTTACTTTTTAAATGAAATTTCCCACAAAGAGTGATGGGAAAGAAAGGAGTGGTGGTGAAGACCCATGCTGACTACAGATTATGACCAGTTATTGATTCCTTTGCTCACAACAAGTAGCAACTTACTCCAGAAGTTGGTACATTGTTTTTATTTCAATCAAATACACAATGACTGAGCCAGTATTGTATTTTGACAATAGGAAATTCTTCCTCTCCCCACAACTAGTTTGTAAAATTGAAATCCCCATTTTCCTATGGCTGGGAATCTCATCATAGGAGAGATCCCAGAGGGGTGGATCTGGAAAAAACTATTTCTGGAGGTCCACCAAGACTTTTCTTCATTCCCTTTCCTGGAGATGTCACTATACATGGAAAATTTACTATATCAATGTTTATTGTAGTGGGTAAAATGGAAACAACCTGTTTGACATTCACCAAATTCTTCCTGTTTTCTGTGATTCCCATTTAGAAGGGTCCACAGCTGCTTTTAAGGCATATGCAGTTTTTCTCTGTACCTTCATTAAAGGCAGAATTGCACAGATGGTATTATATATGAGAGCTGATTTATTTTTATCTCTGTTGCATAAATTATCCTGAAAACCTCAGTAACCTGGCATGCATAGAGGGCAGGAGGTAGGCCTTAAAAAGGAACCTCATCTACATGCATTCTGTCCTGAGCACTGCTCATGAAAACTGACTCTAGAGCAGAACTAGTTTTGGGTCGGGGGCTGCTGACCCACAGTCGGGCCGCACACAAGTGAGAAGCCCCTGATTAAGAAGGAAGACAACGCGCCTCACATTCCCCTCAAACACCTGAGCCTACGGGAGCCCAGGCTAGTAGATTGGGGTTTTTTTTATGCTCCAGCCCTGTGGGTGCCTGTGGGCCAGCTGAGCTTCTGGGCCTGAGGTTCCCCACCTCTGCTCCAGGACAATGTATTGAGGAATATGAGAAATACTCACTGTTTAAGAAAAAAAAAATTACACAATGTATTTAAAACAGAGGTATAATTGTTAATTAACCACTCTCCCTTCCTCACCCTTAAAATTTCTATGCAAATGATATGAAACTTTCATTTAGGTGCTTCTATTTCTGCTGGGTTTAAAGATTTGAGGGGTTATTTAATGTTTTATATTCATGCTTAACAAGGGGCATACACCAACTGGTCTGGATTCTCAAGTATGATAAAGCGGCTATGCACTGGACTGACAGGACAATTTGGTTAGAAAACTGGTGGTCAGCATCCCAGGATAATCGCCTCAACACATATTTTAAATTTTGAGTGACTGACTCTTTGCCAAATTACCTTTCTCTTACAACAAAATGTTTACAGATGTATGCATCTAATTCCATACAAAATACTTTAAAAGGACATTGCTAAAGTTGCAAAGTCAAGCTCTCAAAAGTTAGAAAATGCTAAAATTAAGGATGTCTGTTAAACCTTAATTTAGATGGTGTTTAGATGCATTATAATACAAACTTTAACCACACGATTGCATACTATTTTTCTACTGGACCCTTATAGTGCCCGGTAGGAGATGGTGTTTACTCAATAAGCATCTGTTCAATATTTCATTTAAATCAAATGTTTCATTTCCTTATTTAACGTATACCATCCAGGTCCATCACTGAATAAAATTTGAGATGCCTACAGCCTGATTTTTCAGAAAGTTTAGCATTTTATAGAACATTATATGTATATGTTGAATACACAGTTCCAGTTGACTGCAGTACTCAGAATTTCTGGAAATCTGGCCCCAAGATCTTAAATTGGGCACATGGAAAAATGAGTTTTGGCATGCCTGGCATCATCAGGGAACTTTTTTGCAGAGGAAAGGATATCCAATTCTCCAGGGTGGCATTCAGTTGCTTTAATTAACTATGAGATCCTTATGTCTCTGCCAGCAATCCCCTGCTTCATCCACTAATCACCTTCCAACTTCAGCAGTGTATAGGAAAGTATGGTACAGACAGTAGCCTCATTCACTACACAACCCTGATTCATTCCCTAAACACTGTACACCGTGCACTCAATCAGGCAGAAGTCATGTGGAAAAAAGTATAGGCAGCTGTGTAATTAAAAGATTGTATCGTGATGTATACACACAACGGGGCTCTATTAAGGTAGAACTTGGCCTTTACAACTTTATTGTTCTTTTAATGAGTTTTGCATAGAATATCCTAAATTTATATTAAGCAAACTGAAAAATGGAAATGCCATCATGTAGACTCATATGGATAGCCACATGATTCATCAGTAGAGTTGGAACCTTTTAGAGCCTTCACATGGACCTCTACCACGAGAGCTAATAGAGTAGTGGATAGCATTAATAGGTTGTCATCCTCTATGTGGGTCCGCCATTAATGGCAGATGAAGTCCAGCTTTTGCCAGTGGGGTGCACAGCTATTTGCTGATGGTAGCAGAATGCTGAGATTCTAGGAATCCTGGGCTCTATTGCAGAGTCAGTGGGGGAAAGTTCTTTACTGGTTATAAACTGTGCAATCCAAACCCTGCTTCTTCTGTCCCTGACTCCTTGGTCTGCCCTCTTGTTAGTCTCTGCTCCACCCACTCTACTCCTTCTCTGTTTCACCTTATAAGCTCTCAGTCTCCTGCTGCTCCTAGTCATTCCTTGTTCTAGTGCCTCTCCTAGAGTTCTGTGTCTTCTTCCCACCCAAGTTGATCCCTTTTAGTGCAGCGTGCACCCATCATTTTAATGCATTCAGAAGTTTAAGAATCAGGGTTGTGTGCAGCAAAAATAATGCTGCTTTTAATGAACTTCAAGGAGATATAGTGAATAAAGACAATACTTTTTAATAGCACGATCTTTCAAAATACCGTTCGAATATTTAAATTGGGTCACCTTGCTGTGGTAGTGGCAGTGCACAAGAGATATCTGAATGACAGATTACAAGCTTTATTGAGCCTGATTCTGCTATAGCTGGTTAGAATTAAATGGAACTTCTTGTGTATGTAAAAATTACTCACATGGGTGAAGCAAATAGGATTGTGCCAGGGACTTTTCCTTTCACAGATCCGTCTTCTGGAATCCAAGACCCCAACTCCAGGGAGGAAACACTTCTGTAAAAGACTCCCTATGGCCTTCTTGCCCTTAAGCTTTCAAGGGAGCCCCATTCAACTCTCCTCAGATAATATAACATGTAACAAACTGAATGACATGCACCACAGAGTATAACAGTCCATTAGTTGGTTAGACATATAATCTGGAGTATCCAAAATGTTGATCATTATATCCCATAACCCATGAAGTTGCTCATTATTGATTAGCCTCCTGATATGTATTTTGTTGCTTTTATGCTTGATGTATGCACTGTGGTGTTAAAATGTGAAGTGATGTACAAGCACTAAGTATTACTAGCACTAGTGCTATTGTTAGATCTATTCACTGAAGTAATATGCCATTGTTGATTAGACCAGAACAATAATACAAGTTATTCTCTTTGCAGCTATATGTCAGCCTAGATGCAAACATGGTGAATGTATTGGACCAAACAAATGCAAATGCCTCCCAGGATATACTGGCAAAACCTGCAACCAAGGTAAGAAAACAAATCTTTCAATTAACAATAAGGCAGCAGATGAGACTGCAGAAGACTTATTTTTTAATCCTAAAAAAGAAATAATATATATTTTGCATAGTAGCTTCAATTTTTTGCTTATTCATGTCAATGAAGAACAATTAACTGAGTCTTCATAAATGCATACTATTCATAAAAGGAGTCTACCTCTATATCTTGTACTTGCAGGTCAATGGATTTAATCTACTAGGTCTCACAGCATTAGTGTTTGTTATGATAATAAGCATTTTCTTAGCACTTGAGTCCAATGTGTATTTAATTGCAGTTACTTTAATTTAGGTTATTTTTCACCTTGCCAGTTCATCAGAGAGAACCAATTTGGTATATTGTTACTTTTGCATAAAAATTGTGCTACCCACTACAAAGTTAGATAATTTCCTCTACTTCCCTAAAGTGTTGAACTAAAGTGTAGAACAATATGATGCTCAAAATAGATGATATAATATAAATAATAGATCATATAATTGAATCAGATAAATCAAGGCATTAACAGTAATATAACTTACAATTGATTTAGTAAGAGAACAGCTTGACACCAGAACTAGCCAAGTTGTTACATTGGTACAACCAGTAATCAAATCACAAAACTGAACTGACAACACACGTATCATCCAGTGACTTATTTAAACATTCTATCCCTGTGCATTTTACTTAGCAGTTTATACTTGTGGAAACAATAGGTTAAGGGTTAAATCTTAATGTATCTCAAATAACTCCTTGAGATTTAGGATGAGATTTGCTTCAAACCAAGGTTAATCAATGCTCTGTGCTAACATTACGTTGTGGGTTTAAACAAATGTGCTATTCCTGCTAATGACCTCTCACACCTAAAAAGGCTAGGACAGTGGAGTTTTTTTTTCTGGCAGGTGTCCTTGCACAGGTGTTCAAATGTCCTGCTAATGAGACAGAAGTAATAAGGTTACTTAGAGAACTAAGTGTGTACTCTTTAGCCTGTCTGTCTTTGATGCGTTGGAATCAGTTAGAAACCGTTGTTTGGGGAACCAGACAATATCTTCTGGCTCAAGTACCATTATGCTAGCGAACATCGTTCTTGGGTTAGCTGGCAGGTCAGCAATGTCTTTTTCTTTGGAAGAGGAAGTAGGATTATTGGCCTTAGAGCTGTGGTCCCAAGAGGATCACATTTTTACCTTGTTTATTTGGTCCTTTATGAATGATGGCTGGACAATACTTGTCTGAGTTTAATGCCTAACGTATAGGGTGTGAATACAACAGTATATTTTTGTCATTAACTTTTGTTTATGTGATTTATTGAATCTGATACACAAGAAGTAATATCTGGCCCTTTACAGAGGTAGGGAGGTAATTTAGGCACCAGGCTTATTTTGATAATGAAATAATGTTTGTTTTGCTGACAATCTTTAATGCATAAGTTTTTAATTGAAATTTGCTCCTGTAGTGTGGTCAACCGAAAACTACTTAGAATGCCCTACAGCAATTCATTATTAAATGCTGCATGTTATTCCCTTTGTGCTAAATTACCATAGTCTTCCATTGGTGTAACTGACCTCTAGAAATGCAGAGTGATTTATATTGCACAGAACATTACTCACAAATATAATAATACCAGACTTTTATCAACTTTTGAAGCCTAAGATATGCTTGTATACAGCAATATGTCATAAAGACAGTTACATTAATCTTTTTCCAGTTGTCTAAGTTATAGTGAATCTTTATTGGCTTTTTTAAATGAAAAAAGTAGATGGGGATGTTGTAGAAAACAGTAGCAACATCTGCACCATGCTATTGTTCAGAATTATATCCTCTGATGTTTACTAATCCTATGGCACACTGATTTCTAATATTTTTCTTTTAAATATATTTTTTCAGATTCTAATCTGTTCTTGAAAAACTTGTAAATAAATGCTGTGATTTGTTTCGCCTCTTCCCATACCATCCTCATTTCTGCTCTTATTTCCCTCTTCAGGGATCATCTTATCTTCTTTACTTTTCACTCAGCTACAACACTCACAAGAATGGCATGCTGTGACCTTAGTATTCTGAGTAAGATGTCTTGATCACTTTAGAGCTTTACTTAGAGAGTATTCAGCTTTAGATGCCCAGTAACATATACTAGCAATACAGTATCTCATGTACAGTATACAGATCACCTCAGGGTATGATATTTTGAGCTAAAACACTGGTGGACCTGAGAAACCTCCGAGAAGCCCAGGGTACCAGATGAAGTATGGCAGATGGCTTGGTAGGTGGCCCTCTTGTCTTTTAGTCAGTATTGAGTCAAGAGTTCAAGCTTGAGTTTGTGTTGTTGGAGGTGATGCGCAGGATTTTCCAAATTGCCTAAGTAACTTAGAAATCCAAGTCCCATTGTCCTGCTACGTCACTTTGGTACTTAAGAAAATCCTATTTGATGTCTTTTGGTTGAACTATAAACTGAAGACCTGTTCACAACACTGGTCAATTCACAAGATTAGGATCATTAACACAGTATCCTAATCAGATTGCAAGTTGCGTGACTATCTTTTGCCTGAATAAAACAATTTCCCTTTTGCTTCCATTGAAGATGCTTCAGTTGTAGGACAATTCCTATCCTACAATAAAAGCATTACTATGTATGGTTGCTGACATAGCTGTTCTTGATGTACCCATCTCCAGGGAAAATGCAGATCTCTCTAGGGTATAAAGCACTTTTGGATTTGTCTGGAGGAATATAAGGTGTTGCTGATGTTGTTAGACATTATATTTAATCTAGTACAGAGGTTCCCAAACTTTCTGACTCTGGGACCAGTAAATCACTTCACAAGATTTTGGAGAACTGGTGGTAATCATTTGCATATTCATTAAGCAAATGATGAATATTCAAATAAGTTGTTTCTGGTCCTCCCAAAGCCCTCATTGCCAGCTTTAGCAAAGCTTTTGATACGGTCACCCACAATATTCTTGCCAGCAAGTTAAAGGAATATGGATTGGATAAATGAACTGTAAGATGGATAGAAAGCTGGGTTTCCCAAACTTTTTACTTTAGTGGGAACCTGTTTTTTTTTTCAGCCCAAAAATATAAACACATATAAAAAAAGAATTAAAAATGAATAAATTTTCAGTGTTTCACCCGGCTGCATCCTCTGCCCAGCGTGAGCCAGGATTTGGGGGACCCAGTGCCGAATGGGCACTCCAGGAGGCGGGAGCAGGAGCAGATTGAGAATAGGGTATCTGGCTAGGAGGGCGGTTGCAAGGAGGGGGAGGGTTGCCAGGTGTCCGGTTTTGTACCGGACAATCCGGGATTTGACGGTTCTGTCCGGGAAACAAATTGAGAAAATACGGAACATATAAAATGTCCAGTATTTTCTAATTAGGTAAGTTTTATTATTATTAGGTGTATCAGTCCGTAGCTGCGAACTGCCTGGCTGGTAGATGTGCTCATGCTGCGTGATTGAGTCTCCCAGCCAGGCAGTTGGCAACTATTCGAGGGAGGGCATGGGGTGGGGGGGAGAAATGGAATCCCCGGGGCCGGACTCACTTGTGTGCCTGGGTCTGCATGTGCCTGAGTCAGTCTCGCTTCCTTCCAGCCAATTCGCTAGCTCCCCTCCTCCCACTTCTCCTCCCGATCTCTCCTGACCAGCCCTGCTTCTGGCGGCCGGTTCCCCCCACCCCCCACCGATCTCCCCTGGCCAGCCCCACTCCCCTGATGACACCCTCCCCCCCTGAACAGCCCCACTCCTCCCGACCCCTTCCCGCTTCTCCTCCCAATCTACCCTGGTCAGCCCCCCACTCTGCCCCCCAGCCAGCCCTGCTTCTGCCGGCTGGTCCCTCCCCTGACCAGCTCTGCTCCCCCTGACCTCATCCCAGCTGGCCAATTCTCCCCCGCTTCTCCTCCCGATCTCCCCTGGCAAGTCACCTCCCGCCCCCCTGGTCCAGCCCTGCTTCTGCTGCCCTCCCCCCCAGTCTCGACTGGACAGCCCAGCTGCCCCCAACCGTGCTTCCTGGCAGCTGGTTTCTCCACCCATACCTCCTCCCAGCCCGCCCCGCTCCCCTCCCAGCAGCCATGCTGAAGCCTGGTATTTTTTTCCCGTGGCCTGATACCGGGCTGCAGCCCATAGATTGGGAAATGCTGATCTAGTAGATCATTTTAATTCAATACCTTTTTACCTCTACTTTATAAGAGAAAATAATAATTTTATTCAGTATCCTCTTACCTCTTGTGAACAAAGGAAAGGGTCACCTGAAATCTCTCAATGAATGCTGGACTTCAACTTGACTGTTTACATCCAAAACTCAGTCACTCTTCCCAGGGACACTGGGGTATAATCTTTTAATTCCTGCTTTAGTTCACTGACAGTAATTACAGTTGCCTGGCATCTTTGTATGTGTGTGTTGTTAGGGTGTGAGTTGGTAGCTAAATCCCAATACCTCGTGCTAGTGGTAACAGAGTGCATCTTGTAAAAATCTTATATTGTGACCTTCACACTTTTGTTTTGGGCTTTCAGCCTCATTTTGCAGTGTTTGAAATAGATGGTAGCTAGAGATATTTAAAAATCATGTTGAATTTAAAAATATTTATCAGCTTTGCAAGCTAGTTGTAAAACAGCCAGCTGTTTTTTTGTAAAACATATTCTTCAAAAATTTGTAATTAGCTGGAGTAGCTGTTGCTGTGACCTAATACATGTTATATGGTTGCTACTTAGTAAATTAATAAGCAGTACAAGTAATCTGAGAGTCTCAGATTTGTGTTAGCAATGTAAAATGTATGCTGTGTTTTCTGTGGAAGACGATATACTAGCATACCATGGTTTTCTATTTAAAATTAAAGAAATATAGCAGCATGATTTCCACAGCAGGCTTCCTGAATGCTATTGTTCCAGGACCAGCCTACAAACATAATTTACATCTTTTTTTATAATTAAAGCAGTTGGCAGAGTCGACATTGATGGTTTTTGACATCATAAAGTAATACGTCATCACAGGGATTTGGTCTTTTGACTATTATTATGCCTTCTTCCCCTTTGTGAAGCTGAGCACCTGTATACAACGCCAACTGAGAGGCCCAATGAACCACCTCTATTCCGCCCCCTGGATCATCATGCAACAAATATACCTTCAAGGGGTGAGAGAGTCCTTTATTTCAGGTGGTGTGCTCCTTCCACCTGCATGGCTTTATAGAATAATAAAAGGTCTTGCAAATATTCTGAAGTATGATGAATTAGTGGCTGCCATTTGAAAGCCAGGCCTGCAGTATCGTTGGCATGCAAAGCAAATATGCAATTACACTTTCTTGATGCTCTATGCCTCTATTCTACACAGGTTTGACTCTTCACAGTCCTTTTAACTTCCTAATGTTGGTTCTTTTCTGCTTTATTCTTAGGATTTGCACTGCGTTTTCTAAATTTCTTTCTATATCAGCATAGCTAGGTTACTGTAGCATTGCTTCTGTAACTTCTTAGTGCAGACACCACTTACAGTGATGGAAAGGACTGGTCCAGCTATAGTGCTCAGGGGGTGTGAAAACTTGTAAGTATAGATGAGGCCTAAGGAATTGTTTATCAGGTTCAAGTGACGATAACTGTGATTGAAACAAAGCTGGAAAATGAGAGAGAAATCTTTGTTAACTTCAGAGTTTGCTCATTACTGTATTGTCTATTAGACAAATGGTCCGATTGAACACACCATGTCTTAGGGTGTGCAAATCTGCAGTCAAAATGAAACAACACTGTTAAATGAAATCAATGATGTACTGAAAATGAAAGCTGATCTATTTTTTATGTATGGGTGATGAAGGCTTGAATATTTTATTTAGTTTCTGGTGAATGCGCCAAACTAAGTTAACTCAGTAGTGAATATTTGACCTCTAACGGTGTTGTCTGGTCCACGTTAGAAGGTAGAAAGAAGTCTGAAAGTTAAACAAAAGAATGTTAGGTTTTTATTGGCATCATCTGAATGGGGCTAGTTAAAGAAATACTGCATAATCTTGGGGGGAAAAACATGCCTGCATACAGAAAATCAGTGTTTATCCAAGATGTCTCAGAGCAATGTCCCTACACACATTGGGGAAGAAAACTATCAGATCCTCCCCTGGGATAGTGCTTGGGGTGTGTTATGGACCACCAGGATCCAATTTGGATATGGATAGAGACCTCTTTAATGTTTTTAATGAAGTAAATACTCATGGAAAGTGCGTAATCATGGGAGATTTCAACTTTCCAGATATAGACTGGAGAACAAGTGCTAGTAATAATAATAGGGCTCAGATTTTCCTAGATGTGATAGCTGATGAATTCCTTCATCAAGTAGTTGCTGAACCAACAAGGGGGGATGCTATTTTAGATTTGGTTTTGGTGAGTAGCGAGGACCTCATAGATTAAATGGTTGTAGGAGACAACCGTGGCTTGAGTGATCATGAGCTAATTCAGTTCAAATTAAATGGAAGGATAAACAAAAATAAATCTGAGACTAGGGTTTTTTATTTCAAAAGGGCTAACTTTAGTAAATTAAGGAAATTAGTTAGGGAAGTTGATTGGACTAAAGAAATTATGGATCTTAAAGTGGAGGAGGCCTGGAATTATTTTAAGTTAAAGTTGCAGAAGCTGTCAGAAGCCTGTATCCCTAGAAAAGGGAAAAAAAATTATAGGCAGGTGTGTTAGACCAAGTTGGATGAGCAAGCATCTCAGAGAGGTGATTAAGAAAAAGCAGAAAGCATATAAGGAGTGGGAAATGGGAGGAATCAGTAAAGAAAGCTACCTTATTGAGGTTAGAGCATGTAGGGACAAAGTGAGACAGGCTAAAAGTCAGGTAGAGTTGGACCTTGCAAAGGGAATTAAAACCAATAGTAAAAGGTTTTATAGCCATATAAATAGAAAAAAAAAAACAAAAAAAGAAGAAGTAGGACCGCTAATTACTAAGGATGGAGTGGAGGTTAAGGATAATCTAGGAATGGCCCAATATCTAAACAAATACTTTGCTTCAGTCTTTAATGAGGCTAATGAAGAGCTTAGGGATAATGGTAACATGACAAATGGGACTAAGGATATGGAGGTAGATATTACCATATCTGAGGTAAAAGCCAAACTTGAACAGCTTAATGGGAGTAAATCGGGGGGCCCAGATAATCTTCATCCAAGAATATTAAAGGAACTGGCACATGAACTTGCAAGTCCATTAGCAAAATGGACATGATTACACTTTTTAAATATATTAGAGGGATAAATACCAGGGAGGGAGAGGAATTATTTAAGCTTAATACCAATGTAGACACAAGAACAAATGGATACAAGATGGCTAGTAGGAAGTTTAGACTTGAGATTAGACGAAGGTTTCTAACCATTAGAGGAGCGAGGTTCTGGAACGGCCTTCCAAGGGAAGTAGTGGGGGCAAAAGATCTATCTGGTTTCAAGATTAAACTAGATGGGTTTATGAAGGGGATGGTTTGATGAGATAACATGATCTTGGTAACTAATTGTCCATTCATTATCAGTGAGAATAGGTCAATGGAGGAATGATAGGAGTTACTATAGAGAACTTTCTGGGTGTCTGGCTGATGAGTCTTGCCCACATGCTCAGGGTTTAGCTGATCGCCATATTTGGTGTCGGGAAGGAATTTTCCTCCAGGGTAGATTGGCAGAGGTCCTGGAGGTTTTTCGCCTGCCTCTGTAGCATGGGGTACAGATCACAGCTAGAGGATTCTCTGCATCTTGGGGTCTTCAAAGTATTTGAAGGCTTCAATATCTGAGATATAGGTGAGAGGATTATTCTGGGAGGGGTGGGTGAGATTCTGTGGCCTGCACTGTGCAGGGGGTCAGACTAGATGATCATAATGGTCCCTTCTGACCTTAAAGTCTATGAGTCTACACTAGTTCAACAAGTCACATCCACATTTATCAGCCCACCATCATTTTTACATTTTTCATCTCTTTCCTTTTGAAATGTAATATTTATGCTCAGCAGCCTGCGCTTATGTTCTGGACCTGCTTTTGCAAGCCCTTCCAACACCTCAGCTGCTTTTTACATGTAGCCCTTTTCAGTATGTTACTTGCCGTTAAGAATGCTATTTTTGTATTGACTGTACAATCACAGCATTTTAATTTAAGTGGTTTAATGGTAAAATTGTTGAGCTCAGAATAATGAATGAAGGTCTCAGTTAGCAGAATAATGGGATTTGTTAACCCCCTCATGTTGATATCCCTTGTATTTTAAATTCCATAATAAGTTTCTTAAGGAGTGAAAGGAGTAGTGTTTATATTAAAAATAAAAATAATGTACATGTTTTATTTGTGGAATATACTGATTTTGAAACCATTTAAAGTTTTATTCTTTTGGAGGACAATTCTGCTGTTTTCTTTTGATGGAGGAGTATTTATTGTAAGTGAGCTATCACTATGCATACTGTTTGAAATGCCAAACTGATAACTTTAGATAAGTAACTTGACCTTTCTTAAACTCACCATATGTTTGCAATATATTCAGTGTGTTGTGTTAGATGACCCTTTAAACTGCTAACATTAGCCTGAACCTGTTCAAGAATAACAAGACCTTGCATAAACAACAAAAATGTAAAGAATCTGAAGATGATGGAAGACACTGATAGTGGGATGTTTGAGCTGCAAACAGGTGCCATAAAACAGGAATGAAATATGTATGTGCACTGGTTGATCCATTTCTTCTCTTGCTCATATGCAGCATACCAATACTCTTTTGAGAAGGATATACTTCTCATGAAGTGAATCATCATTGTGTTGTTAAAATCTTTTATACAAAATCAAAGGAACTTTCCAGCGGCCATTCATCTAGGACACTGCATATCGCATGCTGTTGTGTACAGAGTAGGTGCCTATCTACACTGAAATTGGGAAAGAAGCTATAGCAGTGTTGGCAAAGAGGGACTGAAAACAGCACATTTGGGAAAATACAATTAGACTGCAGATCTCCTAGTATGTAACAGAATAGCACATATCGTAGCCTATTTTGAAAGCACTGGCTTTGCAATTGAGTAGTCAAAAAATGATTCCTAAGTAATAGTGGGAGATTTTGTAGCATGAGTTCAGACTCTAAAGGATTAAAAACAGACTCTTTCCTCATAACAAAATGCAAAGGTGAGAGGTGGAAGTGGAAATATTACTTGTAAATCTAATGGAGTTGTACTGAGGGACTTTTTTGGCTCTCCCTTGATGATGAACCATTAGCACATCAGCCATGAAAAAAATCTGCTCCTTTGTTTAAAGATCATGCATCTTCCAAGTAGTATTCACAGTGTGCTTTTCAAGGTCTGAATCTAAAGCATTCATAAACCAATGCTGGGACTGTCTTCAGTCATGTGAAGAAGTGGAACTAAGGCTTGGTCCACACAAGCAACTTACGTTGGTATAACTGCTATGCTCAGGTTGTAGAAAACCCATCCAGATTGACACAGTTTAACCAATCTAACTCCTGCTACATCAATGGGATGATTTAGAATTACCTACTGCCACATGGGGTTATGGAGAAGCCATGCCAACAGGGGGAGTTGCTTTAAGTGTAGAGAAGTGAACAGAAAAAAGCAAGATAGGTTTTAGCTGAAACCAAATAAGGTGCATATGGAATGGTAGCTTAGTACACTTTCCAGGATCTACTTTATATATTTTGGTTATTCTTAGAATGTGTTACTAATAGCTGACCATCCTTCAGCATCATGACCTTCCATTCTGTACTAAAAATACTTTATACCAGGTGGTGGGACATGAAAAGACCCGTTATTTAAGAGTCATAATGTAATTGACAGGTTATGAAGAATATTGCATTTTAAACTGAGATTATTAATTAGTAATTACATCATTAATATATGAATGTATGGTAGTGACTCCATAACTAAGATTGAAAGACACTTTTCATTATGGATAACATTTTCATAAATGCTTAGTTGGCTTAGGAGCTTAAAGACAAAGGACTTTCAGTAAGACTTAGTCCAATAGGCATTTTTGAAAATTTTATAAGGCTACTGTTAATACTTCCCTCCCTTACCCTATTGCCACTTAAAACGGTCATTATTTGTATTATAATTTAGTATGATTGGCATTGTACAAATCCTGAAGAAGATATGAGCTTACAATATAAATACACATAAAACAAAAAGGCACTGCTGCAAGTACAGGCAGTCCCCGACTTATGCGGATCCGACTTATGTCGGATCCGCACTTACGAACGGGGCTTTCTCGCCCCGGAGCTCGCAGGCAGCGGTCCCGCCACCTCGACCTCCGGGGCGAGAAAAGCTGCTCCCGGTGCCCCTGGTCTGCTGGGGGGGGGAAGGCGCAGCTAATGTGCCCCCCCCAGCAGACCAGGCTTTTGTTGTGGACTCTGGGGCAGAGCAGCTGGGGCGCTGCCGGTTGGTCCCGCAGCGCCGCTCTGGGCACTACTGGACCAACCCAGCAGCACCCCAG